TTTTACCTAGTTAGAAGGACTTTTAATGTTCAGCATACCGTTTTTTGTAAATTTCGACCATATTGTCTGATTTTATTGATCTGTGGGTATATTAATCTGTAAGGGAATTTACAACTTTGTTTTCTGACTAACTTCTGGATTGTATCTGCGTTGAAACCATTATTATGGCCTATCTGTGTAATTATATCAATTTCCCTAGCTAGATTGTTAGCAGACAAAGTCAGTGATAATGCTCTGTGCAACTTTAAATTGTATGCTGCTAATTTATGACTCTCTGGATGGAAAGAATCACTTGGGATGATAATGTCTGTATTGCTTGGTTTTCTGAAAACATTGAACTCAAATTTATTCTGACTGTGTGTAATGGTCAGATCTAAGAAATTTATCTGACCTGACCATTCTTCTTCAGAAAAAACCATGTGGATGTGGCATTCAGACCACATGCTAGGTTCTGATTTCCTTTTCGAAGCCGAAGATAAACTGGACAAGTTGGAGAAATCTGGAGTTTATAAGCTTAAGTGTCTGGAGTGTAATAGTGTTTATGTGGGACAATGTGGTCGAAATTTCCAAAAACGGTATGCTGAACATGACAGGTCCTTCAGACTAGTAAAAATGATTCGACATTTTCAAACCATTCCTTGGCGTGCAACCACAAGTTCCCGAATCTAAACCATACGGAAATTTTGCACTATGCAAGGAAGGATTGCAAACCCAATTATTTGGAATCCACATTGTCAGTAGTAAACAAAAGTCAAGTACTCAATCAAGCTAAGTACCTCTATTATTACCTGCAGTGGTGCTATATAAGGGCAAATGTAATCAATCATTGTTAGTTTATTGTATAAGTTTGAAAATGTCCATATAGGACGAAACTGCAGTAACGTTAGTTACAAATAAAAATGGTAAAAAACTTAGAAAGTTTCAATTCTCTTTTCTTCATTATGATTTTATACTACGTACTAACGGCTACATCCATCAATTTACTACTGGTATTTTTTTCCATAGTTTATCCATCAATTGCCCTTTGTTTGTGTACTGTCGTCTCAAATTCATCTAACATATACCGAACGATATATTTTTTGATAGTAAATGTGGAGTTGAAACAGAAAATGTTATTTCACATATTCAGTTAATAGTTAAGGACTAGTTTTTTTGAGTTGATCGAGAATACGATTCATAATATTTCTTTGGTAACGTAAATTGAAGATCAATTAAATTTCCTAAAACACAGTGAAATTCAATAACCTGTTTTCTCAGTGGATCTACTTTATTCCTGCAGCAAATCAGACGTTTCCAATACAAAATGGAATGATTCATTGGAAAGATAATCCTTACCTGTTATATTTCCAAGCAATGATCGATGAACAAATTTGGAGAACATATTGGTGTTACCTCGTATCAACGTATGACTGATTTCTTCTTGGTTACGGCTGTTTCAATCATTTCAAAAGTAAACAAATACCACCCGCAAGTTATTCAAAAGATAAACATAGGATTACACGGTTTCATTAGACTTCCTGTATAGATAAAATTTTCAGCTCCTGCTACAAGTACGTCACTTGAGTCGGAGTTAAAAATAATCCATCACGGGATGCTGACGAGAAAAAAATTCCGCTCGAAATTATTATAAGATTGTTGAAAAAATCGGTTATTTTTTCAGTGTCCGCTTATTGATCAGTGAAAACATGTAGGATCAATCATTTAGGAAATTTTGTTTGATATAAAAGTGTTGGATGTGTGAAAATATGAATATAACTTGAATTTCGAACAAGAACTTTTAGAACCTTTACAAATGAGAGTTACTCGAGAAGAAAATGAATTTCACATGCCCATAGCGTTCAATTTTACAGTTCAAATCTATATAACGAAAAACGGAAAAGTAACTCCAGCTAGGCTGGTTATGGAAAAAGTTTTCCTTTCCTATGTTGAAAATATTACAGACCGAATTGGGAGAAACTACGAAAAGAAGAGTCGAAGAAATTGTCGACTCGGACAAACCGATAAATCAGCTCTCAAGCAAGAATGCATTCACATTATCTCAGTCTAAGATACAGTAATACTCGATAAAAACTCAAAATTACTATCCAAAAGTATATAAAAATGCAATAAAAATTCAAAAAACAGGAATAATTCCAATAGACAGGCGTCTATATGTTATATTCAATGGCTTCAAGTCTGTGGAATATGCAGTTACCACTGGTGTTCCACAAGGAATCAACCAATGTCCACTTCTCTTTAACGCCTCCATAAACGACATAGTTGACGTCATTGACATAAACTGTTTGATATACTCGGATGACCTAAAAATATATTATAAGATCAATGACACCGATGACTGTCTTCAACTCTCCCTCAATCTGAAACGTGTTGAACATTGGTGTTTTCGCAAGAATCGCATTTTCATATCAATATTCAATAAACCATATTCCACTTCAACGGCCTCTCACATTCACCGAACTAGGTGTTACCTTCGACACAAAACTTTCCTTCATACCACAGATTGAAGCCACTTTGTCTGCTGCAAACAGAATGTGTGGATTTATTGCACGAATCAACAGAGAGTTCGCGGATCTATCTACATTGAAAACCATATACTATGCTTTTGTCAGATCAAAAATATAATATGCATTCATAATCTGGAATCCATCTCATCAGTTGAATACAGAGACTGTTGAATCATTACAATGTCCTGCTGTGCTTAGTTCTCGCTCTGGTCTTGCAGCATTGATGAAAACCAAAAATCCGTTTGCTATTACGACGAATTTCGTTGTTCATCATCAAGCACTAGCTGCCAAGACGCTTTCAGAATGCTTTGCTTTGCTTTGACGATGAAAATAGCTATAAAAGTAGTGAATTTCATTAAAAAGAATGCACCCAATACTCGTCCCTTCAAACAATTGTGTTCTGATATGAACTCTGAACATGAAACTTTGCTTTTCCACACGGAAGTGCGTTGGCTTTCCAAAGGAAATTAAGAGGAAGTAAACCTATTTTAACTAACAAGGAAAACAAAGAGTTGTTTGATCAGTTCTGCGAGTTCAAATTTGTAATACATTTTGCATATTTGGTCGATTTTTTGAGCAACTGAATAAATTAAAATAATGATCCAGCTAGTTATTCTGATCTCAGAATTATCAGTATACCTCCAACCATGAGTAACATTTTTGAAAGAGTTATTTATTTACAAACTAATGAATATTTCAATAACAATAATCTATTATCACCATCGCAATGTGGTTTTAGGCAGGATTTCAGCACGGCTACAGCTCTTGCTACTGTTACACAATACATTGTTGAGGGATTTGATAAGGGAATGATTAGCACTCTGGTACTACTAGATTTTTCGAAAGCATTCGATACCATCAATCATGAGCTGATTTGCACGAAACTCAAATATTATGGTTTTGATAGTGTTGTCTTATTTCTCATCTGGTCTTATTTACTTGGTCGATCTCAAAAAGTTGTTGTTGATGGTCATCACTCCTTACCTCTNTAAAAGATACATTCGAATCAGGAATTAATCTTGAAAAATTTTGGAGCCAAAAGGCAATTTCTTTACCAAAATTTAGAGACATTTCTATTCGTTACCTAACTTTATTTTCTTCAACATATCTATGTTTTCGGCGCTTCTGATTATTCAAAAACAAGCACAGAAATCGGTTGGATGCCAGTGCTGATATACGTTTAAGTTTAAGTAACACTGAACCAAGGATTCAGAATTCAGTAAAGTGTATGCAATCACAAAAATCGCATTAATTTATAATGCAATTTTTGTTACAGTTACAGATTTTACCTAATGATTAAAGGACATTGAATAATTTTATGCCTATTTTATTTATAGATGAACTAGAAAACCAGTCCATTTATTTACTGTATTGTACTGTATTTATTTGTAGTTACCGTAAGGTACTTTATACAGTGTGTAACAACGAAAACTTAACAGAGTCGTTTTTGAATATAAAAAGTACCTAAGATTTTTAAAGAAGCTCGGACACATCGATTTCCAATTGACTTTCTTCAGACTTATCAGATTTTTTGAAGTACGCACCCCCTCGGAGGGAAGAGTTTTTCGGGGGATGGGGTTGGTTACCACCCTTACATTTTAGGTAAATTGAGTGGCACCTCCTTATGAAGGCTGCCTTTTGACGTGGATATTTTATGCTTCTGATAAAAAAGTGAATCATACTAAAAACTTACCTACACAACGAATACAACCTGCTGATTTCCTTGAATGCTGATGACACAGAAAAGTTTAAAAAACTGTTTTAGGGTTAATAAATCCCANAACTGATAAGAAGAACTGCTCGATTTTTTTTTATTTAGGCATACAAGTTACCGATTGGTCTGTCTAATGTATTATCAACATGGCAATTTTAACTTCAAATTATCTAGAAAACTAATCTTTACAAAAATTTTCTTTCAACAGAGATGTATAGGTATTCGAAAGACCTTTAAAACAAGGTGCAACTCGACCTACTTTCCCTATCAAATAAGGGTCGTCGGACGCCCCCTCCGAGGGGTTGCGTACTACAAAAAATCTGATTAGTCTGAAAGGTGTCCCCCTTTAATCAGAAATCGACGTGTCCGAGCTCTTTTTATATTCAAAAACGGCTCTGTTAAGTTTTCGTTGTTACACACTGTATTAACTATAAACTAATTAACCAATTTTGGTGGTCCATGGTCTGACAGAAATTTTGTCAAATGGTCCCGCATGACTATAAGGTTAAGAACCACTGATCTAGACCAACCTCCAGAGTGGCTAATCCTTTTTATCTGCTAACACCACGTACACATATTCTGAAACGTTCACCTCTGCATAACATGTGTATCAAATGCAACTGATATGAAGGTACACAAACAATATAATATATACCGCAGTAGTAGACGAAACGTCAGGCACAAAAACCGGCAGACCACAACTGAAAAACCTGGAAAATAGCTTTAACTCAGATATCTACGGCCGTGAAAGTTTAAAAGAAAGTTTATAATGATAGTCTTACCTTTTTTGTGTCTGCAGTTATTGAATTTGCACATGCTGAAAGACTGTCCCATGGATCGCGGGGATACCCGTCTGTGACAACAGCGGTGTCGAGTGGTATTCGAGCCTACAGATGGGGAGGCCGCACGGGGGCATAGCCCCACATCGCGCCACCACCCCTTCAAAGTCACCGCCACCCCTGTCGCCTTCCCAATTATGCCTTTGTTCTTTTTCTTTGACGAAGATATGGTGGCGCCTGTATACCTCCACTGGAGTTTTATCTGATTGGATGGAATTTTCAACAAGTTCAAATGGAAGTTCTGGATTTTATTTCTGTACGAAAACTTTGAGGAAGCCGTTTTCGTGCGATCAGTGAAAACAAGGAGGAAAGAATGTCTACAGATCACCATTAATTTCGGATGCGAGCTTCTGGTCGAATTGAAACATCCAATGAATCTTCTTCCCTTTTAGATATTTCGATCTAGATTTTTATTCAAGCTTCTGGAAGCTCTTCAATCCCTTTCTGGTAATCAGTTGTTATCTATTGTTTCTTCTGCGAGTTTGTTTTTGAACGATGAAAATGTTATCGACCTGATTCGTTTCTGAAGACTTACTGGTCAGAGATAGATTTTGTTTCATAACTATCTGGAATTTTGATTGACCAGCAGGTTTCACTGGAAATTCAGAAAAAATATCGAGTTCAATTAGGAATATCAACAAATTTTGGTTTGTGTGGATCAAGACTCTAAATGTGTTTCTTCGCATCGTATTATTTCACCAAAGATTATAACTTTTTTGTGTTTGATNCATAAACATACCGTTATTGAGTCAGTGGTAGCGGTTCCATAAATTTTTGCATTTTGTTATAATTCTTTTTTTTTGCCCTTTTTTACTAGAACGGATCAACAGATTTCTAAACGGGGTTGAGTGAGGATTTTTAAGATCTTTAAAATGATGTGTTACAAGATAGGCCATTCAAAGTTGTTATTAAGTGGCGGTAGCTAGGGGTAAGGGGTTTAAACCTAAAATACCACTGGCACTGGTTTTAAACTTCCCCTTTGATACCCAAATTGAGGTGTTTTTTGCCTACGGAAAATTCTCTCTACTAAACGAAGTACTAGGGGTGGGAAGTTTTGAAATGAAGTCACTGTATAAGGACTCCGTTCCATCAGAAACAATAATTGAAGGTTGGTTTACTGACTTCAAAACTGTGGTCATAAAGATTTAAAGACACTGTTGATGCAGAACGCAATGGACGTCCAAAAGAGACAGCAACACCAGAAAACATTAAAAAAAACACAAAATCGTTTTGAATGATCAAAAAGTGAAGTTGCGGGAGTTAGCTAACATAGTGGTTAGGATATCAAAAGAACCTGTTGGCTTTATATTACACTAGTACTATGTTGCTGTATCGCTGTTGTTGCAATATTTTGGCAGACTCAGAATCAACAGAAGAAGGCAGAAGGCGTGCGCAGAGTTATAGAAAACAGTGCTTTCAAAAAATTGTTCTACAGCCATCTAGTAGTGAGTTACAAAAAAATGGATAGCCTTAAAACCTTCTCTATGAAACTTTACCTATACATGTCAAGTTTCATCACGATCGGTTGAGCGATATAGAAGTTTATCACTTACCAACCAACCAACTAACCAACCAACAAACATCCATTTTTATATATTAGATGAGCATTTGGCTATGAGAAAGCTCTGTTCATAGTGGGTGCCGCGTGAGCTTGGCCATGTTTAACCATAACAAACTAGAATGTTTGCGTGGATATGTGACATTGGATGAAACAAGGATCCATCACTTCACTCCGGATGACGATCGTCATCTGAAGGAAATATCATTAATAGTGAGTATTATATACTACAGCGTTTGATGGCCAAAATTGCATAAGAAACGACTGCATAAGGCAAAGAAAAATATTGTTTCATCAAGACAAGACACCGTGTCAATCAAAATAATGGCAAAACTACATGAATTGAACTTCGAGTTGCTTCCACATCCGCAGCATTCACCAGATTTGGGTCCCAGTGACTACTGCCTGTTTGCAGACCTCAAAAAAATGCTCCCCGCTAAGACATTTCGTTCGAATGAAGAGGTTATTGCTGAAACTATTTTGAGGGAAAAAAATGAATCATTCTACAAAAGTGATATTGTCATGTTGGAGCGGCGCTACAATAATTGTGTGACTCTTGATGGAGATAACATTGACGAATAAAGCTAATTTTGAAGAAAAAAAAATGCGTTTCTTAGGCTCGGGGGTTTTAGTATTTAGTTCACATTTATGAATGGAACTGAACATTAATAAAGATTTTTATTATTATTTAACTCTTTAGTTCGATGTTCTTCAAAAGCGTGTTTTTTAGTTTTTTAAACTATATTTATTTTCACTTTTTGGTCCGATTTATTGTCAAAAAAATTTTTTTTTCAAGTTCTAGTCACTATTATTATAAGTCTTCAACAGACGGCGCAAGAAGACGGCGAAAAATTCCCCACAAACAACATAATAAAGTTTGAGCATTGGTTTGTGGTCTTAGTAAGTCTCCAACAGAGGGCGGACAGTTGTAAAATTTGTTTCGAAGTAAAGAGAAAATTTGCAATAATAATTTTAAAAAAAATTTTTTTTTCAAGTTCTAGTCACTATTATTATAAGTCTTCAACAGACGGCGCAAGAAGACGGCGTAAAATTCCCCTCAAACAACATAATAAAGTTTGAGCATTGGTTTGTGGTCTTAGTAAGTCTGCAACAGAGGGCGGACAGTTGTAAAATTTGTTTCGAAGTAAAGAGAAAATTTGCAATAATAATTTAAAAAAAAAAATCAGTCTTGATGTTTTGATTTGAAATTTCATTCAAAATATTAATGGACTAAAAATATTTTTTCAGTGAATAATTTCATTTTTCAAAACGCGAATAGATCAAGCAATAATGCCGATAATTCTGTCAATACAGATCCCGATCGTGAGAGTTACATACAAACATGCATACAAACAATCATACATACATACATACAGGTGAAGGTAGTATAAAGCGTGTAATAAAAAAAAAGTGTCAAGATAATTGAAATACCTATCATACGAAATGTTACAAGACCCCACTTTCTTTCCGAAAAAAGTTGATAGCGCTTCTCGGTTGCATTTTTTATCAAAAAGTATTGCAAATTATTCCTGTTTTACAAAAAAATCGTCCAACCGGTAGGTTGGAGGTAACTTACGTCCGCACTGTATATAGTTGAATGTCAAAACCAAATAAAATTTTCCTGGATTCATTAGTTAAAATCTTGTATCAGAAAATACGGATCCTAATGATGTCTCAATTCAATGGAAAACAATTACAAAAAATGTTTGCTTGTTTACTTTCCATTTCCACCGGCGTTTATACTCAACTCGTTGAGAAAAACAAATACGAAAACGAGGTATAATCAGCGCATAAAGGTCAGCAGTAATGACGATATCAACAACGCAAAATGTGCAAAATGAAATTCATTGCACCAACTGACCTTCCATAACACGTAACACCATCAACATGTGCATATATACAATACTGAAAAAAAACCGGTAAATATTTTCAATGAACTTCAAAAACGTTATGAGAGATTGAATTCAGAGGCGGACTCTCGAAATTTATCTGGGCCAAGTTTCAATAGGTGGAATTGTCCATCGCCTTGTAATAGGCTTGATGACAGTGACTAAAAATCACTAAAATGATGTATTTATTCAATTAAACTCTAATAATGGATTACAAAACATTTATTGTTTTATCATATTGTATTATTATAAGCCAGATTGATAATATTTTGATTGAAATTATTTATACCACGTGAGAACAATGTTGAAACTACCTACTAAAATGGGAACTATTTGTAAAAGATTCTTTCCATCATTAATATTGTAAAATAATGGCGAATAATGGCACATTTCACAGCCATTTGTTGCAATTCTTATTCTTTTTAGTTGTTTGCATTTTCATTTAATTTTTACATATTACCTTTTTACATTATTACATGATTATATTTTTACATTTTAACATTTGTAACATTTAAGGTTTCCACATCTTTACATTATCATAACCTAAATTGTCAAATCCATTTTACTCTGTTCTGATTTATAATCTGAATATTGTGAATAAAACAGTAATATTCACGTACAGGGTGTCCTTTGTGGGTTTCCTGAATTTGTTCAGATTGTTCAAATTGTTGAACAGGTAAATCAGAAAATCTATTTTTATAATAATTACCGATCAATGACAAATAACGTTCACCAACAATTGAAGAGTGTGAACTACTCTTTACAGCACTTTTGTAAGTTTATTATTATTCCCTTTCGATCCTGAGTTCGTTGTAGACGTTACTAAGCAGAACAATCATGAAGGTAAGATGTCGTATAGCTAAAGTTATGGTAAAATATGTAAATGCGATGGTCTGAATCTATGCCACTCTACTTCATCGATTCAATTTATCACACGTGTTATCATTTCGAATGTTCGTACTTATATAGATAACGACTTTGAATGGCGCCTTTAGATATGTAAATGAAGTGTTAGTTATATAGACGTGAACGAATTGTTACGAACAATTATTTTGTAAAAACCGAATACGTCATAGCAGTCCAGTAACTTTAAACATCACAGCATGCGTCAAATCCGGTAATTTTTTGCAGACTTGTTTATGATGTTGGCCAATGAATAATCCAAGTTTGTGACCTCGAGCGCCAAACGCAACTTTGTCAAAAATCTAAAAAACCGCGAAAAAATCGGGTTTCTTCAAATTTTGCCGAATAAAATCCTGAAGGACTGGTTTTTGAAACAACTTGCTTTCTAATTTTTTAAAGTAGACTAAATTTGCTACAATATGATACTAGAACTGTCTGTGTAGACCCAATAGTTCCGAGATTGATCCTTTCAAAGTTTATGATTTTTTTCGAACTTTTTTTGCAATTCTGTCTTTCTGATTAATTCAATTTTGACCCTGATTATATCATCGAAACTTTTTATGACGGGATGTTAAAAAAGAAAATGAGAAGTGTGAACGATGATGTTTAAGAGTGAAAAGTAAACTAGGAATACATTGAAATAACAAATCAAAGAGGAAGGAGAGAAATATAGAAGAATTGATAAATTCTTATTTATGTAATGGAACACATGTTTTAAAACTGAAAGTCAGTTCAATTATCATCTTTGATTTCGTGAACTGAAAAAGATAAGTACAACAAAAGTCTATTTGAAGGAAATTGAGTAATATTAAAAATAAACCAATAGAGTAATAATTGAGTAATAAATAAATTAAATTAATTTAGCCCTCTTGGAAAGTTGTATCGTACACTTACGACCGTATATCCTCTCGTATGACTTCCGAAGTTGCTTTCACGTCACGTAGTCTTTCTGTTTGAAAAAATCTGTTTAAAATCTGTTTTTCCATTAACCAGCTGTCGCACCCCTACGAACGACAACCCTCAGAAGTCGAAACTTGTGTGAGCTTAGTGGCTAAGTAAGCTAAGTAGAAGCTCGGATCCTCTGCTTGAGGATCTGAGCTTCTACTTTCATACCATGTACTGGTGAGAATTTTGTGACCTGTGTTTACAAAAACAAACAAGCGAGTTTTCACTGTTTGCAGTTGAGGTCGTTCTCCTTCTATCTGTTCCATGAGTTCATCTAGAGAGAACTGACACTCCTCAGTG